GAGAATGGTGTGAACCTGGGAGGCGGAGCTTGCAGTGAGCCTAGATCGGGCCACTGCATTCCAGCCTGGGCGACAGAGTGAGACTCCGTCTCAAACCACCACCACTACCACCACCACCACCACCACCACCACCACCTAGCATTTCTAGTCAATATGTAATTCGGATGCAGCCAACTAATAGAGGTCTTTCTACACTGGAATGTGCAGCTGTTACTCTTTCCATCTTGGAGAAAAATAATTACATACAAGAGACTTTGTTTCGCCCTCTTGAAGCTTTATGCTCTTTCCAACGTTAGCATGGTGCCCAAATTTGCCTCAGGAAGGAACACTTTCTGAAAAATGGATTATATCCAAAACCAATGCCAAAGAACAAACACAAACTCAGGAAAATGTAACTGTTAAAGAATAGCGTTAAAATTTAGTACAGTTGTTCTTTTGGTGCTAGCTTACCTGTCTTCATCTAACAATACCAAGTTAAGTTTTCATATAGTTTAGGTCTGTAGGTTTTTGACTTGCTAAAGTAGAATGAGAATTGCATACTAATCTTGCCCAGAAGAAGGAAGTAAACCCAATATCCATAGAAACAAATAAACAAACGAAAATTCACTGACTCACTGAAAAGCAAGATTTCATACTGTACTTGTTTTTAAAAATGTGCCTCTAATAATACATGTTTTCAAACTCAAATTTAAACTGTGATTTGTTGTTGAGCTGGGTTAGAAGTTCTTGCTTGTAAAATAGAAGGAAATAGTTGTGGCAGATTGAAACAGTATTGTTTTCATTAATGTTTATAAATAAGTAGGTGTAGACCAATAATATAAGATACCTACATCGATTTGCAGTCCTAACTTTATAGTTTGAAATAAGTAGCAAAAGAAAATTTTGATAATCAAGTAATTCATTATTTTGTAAAATAGTATAAAGGGATAAGAAAACTTTATTGTTAAGGGCTAAATTTGAATTCAGCTAATATGATTTAAGTATTCTATTAATTGTCCTGCTTTTTAAAGAGGT